GAAGTGAAACCCATGCAATGGTAATATTTAAAACTCTCTAGCTGGGCATGGTGGCTCACACCTGCAATCCCAGCACTTTGGGAGGCCAAAGTAGGAGGAGGATCGTTTGAAGCCAGGAGTTTGGGACCAGCCTGGGCAACATGGTGAAACTCTGTCTCGACAAAAAAATACAAACATTAGCCAGGCAGTGTTTGTATTGGGTGGGAAGCACCTGTGGTCCCAGCTATTGAGGAGGCTGTGGTGAGAGGATCACTTGAGCACAGGAGGCAGAGGTTGCAGTGAGCTGAGATCTCGCCATTGTACTCCAAATGAGGGGAAAAAAAAAAAAAACACTGAAATGCAGATGCTTTTGAGAATCCATGCTAAAGTAGGTAACTCTCTGGGCATATTGTATTAGGTATAAGTAAGTCCATATTATAATAACATTGCTTTTCAAATAGGAGCTCTGAAGCCTTCACCTGCTGCTAGTTTGGTAGCAGTATTGATCTCACATGCTCGTTGCTGGTATAGCAGCATGTAAACAGTTCTCATGGCTTTTGAAAAATGGAGATATAATTCATATATGTTATAATCTTTCCATTTAAAGTGTGCAATCCAGAGGTTTTGGGATATTCACAGAGTTGTACAACCATCACCATAATCAATTTTAGATCATTTTCACCACCCCAAAAAGAAATTCGTACCCGTTAGTTATCACTACTCAATCCCTCCATCCTCCCCAGACCGAGGCAATCATTAATCTACAATCTACAGATTTGCATATTCAAGTCATTTTACATAAGTAGAATAATATAATATGATGTCTTTTGTGACTGCACTTAGCATAACATTTTTCAGGTTCATGCATGTTATAGCATATAACAGTACTTTGTTTTTATTGCGAATGCATGGATATGTCACATTTTAAAAATCTGGGGCCTGGTGTGGTGGCTCACACCTGTAATCCTAGTATTTTGGAAGGCCATGGCAGGAGGATCGCTTTAGCCCAGGATGAAGAGGCTGCAGTGAGCCAAGATCACACCACTGTATTCCAGCCTGGGTGACAAAGTGAGACCTCGTCTCATAAAATAAAATAAAAATCTCTTCATCAGTTGATGAACATTAGAGTCTCAGTTGCCTTTAAGATTTTTTTTTTTTTTTTTTTTTTTTTGAGACGGAGTTTCGCTCTCCTTAGCCAGGCTGGAGTGCAATGGCACGATCTCGGCTCACCGCAAACTCCGCCTCCTGGGTTCAGGCAATTCTCCTGTCTCAGCCTCCTGAGTAGCTGGGATTACAGGCACGCACAACCATGCCCAGCTAATTTTTTGTATTTTCAGTAGAGACGGGGTTTCACCATGTTGGCCAGGATGGTCTCGATCTCTTGACCTCATGATCCACCCGCCTCGGCCTCCCAAAGTGCTGGGATTACAGGCTTGAGCCACCGTGCCCGGCAAGATTTTTTTTTGTTTTCCTGTGAGACGGAATCTTTCTCTGTTACCCAGGCTGGAGTGCAGTGGTACAATCTCAGCTCACTGCAACCTCTACCTCCCAGGTTCAAGCCATTCTACCACCTCAGCCTACCAGGCAACTGGGACTACAGGCATGCACCATCATGCCGGCTAATTTTTTGTGTGTGTTTTTAGTAGAGATGGGGTTTCATCATTCTGGCCAGGCTGGTCTTGAACTCCTGATATCAAGTGATCCACCTGCCTGAGCCTCCCAAAGTGCTGGAATTACAGATGTGAGCCACTGCGCCCATCCTGAGATATTTATTTATTTATTTTAGAGATAGGATCTTGCTCTGTTGTCCAGGCTGGAGTACAGTGGTGCAGTGATGTCTCATTGCAGCCTCAAACTCCAAGGCTCAAGCAATCCTCCTGCCTCAGCTTCCTGAATAGCTGGGACTATAAACATACACCACCATGCCTGGATGATTAAAAGAAAAAAATTGTAGAGATGAGGGGCTCTTTTAGTTACCCAGACTGGTCTGGAACTCCTGGCCTCAAGTGATCCTCCTGTGTCAGCCTCCCAAAGTGCTGGGATTACAGGCGTGGGCCACCAGGCCTGGCCAATTTAAGACATTTTTATTTTATATTTTTAAGAGTTTTGAAAAGACGATATAATTGGGTATAACTATCCTTCCAGAATTTTTTTCTTTTTTTTTGAGATAGAGTCTCATTCAGCCACCTAGGCTAGAGTGCAGTGACACGATCTCAGCTCACTGCAACCATGTTTACTGGGTTCAAGTGATTCTCCAGTCTCAGCCTCCTGAGTAGCTGGGATTACAGGCACCTGCCAGCATGCCTGATGTATTTTTGTATTTAGTAGAGACAGGGTTTCAGCATGTTGGCCAGGATGGCCTTTTTTTTTTTTTTTTTTTTTTTTGTGAGGCGGAGTCTTGCTCTGTTGCTCAGGTTGGAGTGCAGTGGCGCAGTCTCGGCTCACTGCAACCTCCACCTCCTGGGTTCAAGGCTCCAGGCGTCCCTAAACTTTTTACATAGGGAGCCAGTTCACTGTCCCTCAGACCGTTGGAGGGCCGCCACATACTGTGCTCCTCTCACTGACCACCAATGAAAGAGGTGCCCCTTCCTGAAGTGCGGCGGGGGGCCGGATAAATGGCCTCAGAGGGCCGCACGCCGCTCGCGGGCCTTAGTTTAGGGGTGCCTGGTTCAAGCAATTCTCCTGCCTCAGCCCCTGAGTAGCTGAGATTACAGGCACCTGCCCCAAGCCCGGCTAATTTTTGTATTTTTAGTAGAGATGAGGGGTTCACCATGTTGGCCAGGGCAGTCTTGAACTCCTGAGCTCGTGATCTGCCCATCTTTGCCTCACAAAGTGCTGATATTATAAGTGTAAGCCACTGCACCCGGCAGCCAAGATGGTCTCGAACTTCTGGCCTCAGGTGATTCACCCACCTCAGCCTACCAAAGTGCTGGGATTACAGGCATGAACCACTGAGCTCAGCATAGAATTTTTTAATTGCATGTGTATACATTTATAATGAAAAAGGAAATAGGATCTTTACTTGCTACAGCAGAGTCCCTTTTTAAAATCTTGTATTAATGGAAACAGAAGTTGGTTGGTTAATTCAAATGGTTTCCTGATAGTAACCTGCTGGACATAGTAGTCAATGGGCTGTTAGCATCACTCATATGTTTTATAGGGAAATAGAAGGTAAATGTTGGTTAGGCCAGGTTCAGTTAAGAGAACTGCTCCTGCATTTGGACTTTTTTGAATAAGGTAGATTTTTCCCTATCTCATTACATAATAATGTTTATTGAACACCTACTATTCTGAAAAGCATTGTCTTAAGTGCTTTACATGCATTAATTCCTGTAATCATCAGTAACCCTATGAATGAGTACTATTAGTGTCTCCTTTTTATAGATGAGGAAACTGAGGTGTACAGGGAGGAAAATTAAATTGTTCACAGTTATGCACAGTGCGAGAGACTGAGTTTGAATTCCAACTTAGTCTGGTTGGTAGAACCCATTCTTAAGCATGGTACACTATGCTTATGGTACACTATGGCCTTTTTATCAGTTTCAATTGCTTTAAAATGTGATTATAGGAATGTGCCAAGTCATAGTTTATTTTATTTTGTTTTGTTTTATTGTCTATTTATTTAGAGACAGAATCTTGCTCGGTCACCAAGGTTGGAGTGCAGTAGCATGATGGTGGCTCACTACAACCTCTGCCTCTCGGGTTCAAGTGATTCTCATGCCTCAGCTTTTCAAGTAACTGGGATTACAGGCGTACACCATCATAACAGCTTGATTTCTCTATTTTTAGTAGCGTCAGGGTTTTGCCATGTTGGCCAGGCTGGTCTCGAACTCCCTGCTCAAGTGATTCACCTGCCTCAGTCTCCCAAAGTATTGGGATTACCGGTGTGAGCCACTGCACCTGGCTTCATGTCATAGTTTATTAATCACTTACTCTAAGAAACAAAAATTTGCTGAGTGCAGTGGCTCACGCCTGTAATCCCAGCGCTTTGGGAGGTCAAGGCAGGCAGATCACCTGAGGTCAGGAGTTCGACCTCTCTGCAGGTTCAGGGGGGTCATCCTAAGGCACTTGCTGGAAGGCAGATGCCAATGTGCCTGCACACAGGTGCACGGGGGCAGGTGAGGGAGCCAGAGAGGAATCACCTCTTCGTCAGAAAGGGCTGGGGAAACAGACAGGAAAACCTCACAGCTTTCTCCCTCCCTCCCCAGGGGATACACACACACAATGCTGGGAGCCCAGAGCAACCTGAGGTGACTCCCAGGCTCTCCTGGACCTCCCAGAGCTCACAAGGGAGGAGGGCACCCAGGGCCAGCCTTGGGCCCTCCCTGTCACTATGTCCTACGTAGAGCTCCACCAGGAAAGATGAGGCCTCATGCTGGTGGGAAGAGGACAACAAAGGCTCAAAGTAAGGCCAGTTCTAGAACAGAGCTCTGCTCTGGCAGGAGGGAGGTGAGACCGGGAAAGACAGAGGCGGGGGTGGCAGATGGTACAACTCTGAGAACAAAGCAGAGAAAGGAAACTGATCCCCAGGAAGTGAGCAGCCTCTGTATGGAGAACTGCCCTTCCCCTCACTGCTCACACAGGGTTTGGCCTCCTGGACCCTGCACAGGGAGACCTGGTGATCCAGAAGACTATGGGAAAGCACCCCAACTCCTGGCCTCCTGCAGAAGCCTATGGCTAGCTTTGCTGATTTTATATGAGGATGATGATGGTGACTTTTTTTTTGAGACAAGTCTCTCTCTCTTTCTCCCAGGCTGGAGTGCAGTGGCAGCGATCTCTGCCCATTGCAACCTCTGCCTCCTGGGTTCAAGTGATCCTCCTGCCTCAGCCTCCCAAGTTGCTAGAATTACAGGCACCCACCACGATGGTTGGCTAATTTTCTATTTTTAGTAGAGACGGAGTTTTGCCATGTTGCCCAGGCTGGCCTCGACCTCCCGACTTCAAGTGATCCGCCCACCTTGGTCTCCCAAAGTGCTGGGATTACAGGCGTGGGTCACTGCATGCTGGCCTATTATTATTATTTTTATATAGGACGCTTCACAAATTTGCATGCCATCATAGTGCAGGGACATGCCAATCTTCTCTGTATCGTTCCAGTCTTAGCATATGCTGCCAAAGCAAGCACAGCCAGCTTTGCTGATTTTGAGCAGCCCTGCCTGTCGGCCAATGGAAATCAGACTGGAGGAGGCACCCAGCTCAACCAGTGCTCCTCCTGCAGCCACGCTGTGCTCAAGGTCAAGGTGAGGCCGTGGACAGGGTTGAGGACCTGGGAGAGCCCTGGAGCCTGAGCCAAGCACTAGACCTCTGCTCCTACTCCCAGGTAGACCAGCAGGAATGATTGGCCCCATCTTGCCAGTGGGAGGGAAAACTCTACTGATTGACTAGTCTGATGCAGAGGAAGCCAGCACACAGGCACCAGGAGCCTTGGGCTAAAGACAGTGGAGCCACCTCCACCTCCCACTTTGTGCTGGGCAAGGCAGTGGATGTGCTGAACCAGGACCTCCCCTGTGTGCCTCCTCAGGACAACAAGCTCACACGCTTGTTGCAGGTCAGCCCACCTGTGTCAGGGCAAATCGGCTTGAGAAGGAGGTTCTGAAGCCTGCTTTGTGGGTGGGGGTGGGTGGGAGGTGAGGTGGGGAAGAGCAGTTGAGGCACAGGCAGACTTGACTTTTAATTTTTTTTTTTTAAGATGGGGTTTCACTATGATCGCCAGGCTGGTCTTGAGCTCCTGACCTCAGGTGATCCAACCACCTCAGCCTCCCAAAGTGCTAGGATTACAGGCGTGAGCCACAGTGCCCCTCCCGACTTTTTTTTTTTTTTTTTTTTTTTTTTGAGATGGAGTTTTGCTCTTGTTACTCAGGCTGGAGGGCAATGGCGTGATCTCGGCTCACTGCAACCTCCGCCTCCTGGGTTCAGGCAATTCTCCTGCCTCAGCCTCCTGAGTAGCTGGGATTACAGGCATGTACCACCATGCCCAGCTAATTTTCTTTTTTTTTTTTTTTTGTATTTTTAGTAGAGACGGGGTTTCACCATGTTGACTAGGATGGTCTCGATCTCTTGACCTCGTGATCCACCCGCCTCGGCCTCCCAAAGTGCTGGGATTACAGGCTTGAGCCACCGCGCCCAGCCCTGGACTTTTAATTTTAATTTTTGAGCTGGAGTCTCACCCTGTTGCCCAGGCTAGAGTGCAATAGCGAGATCTCGGCTCACTGCAACCTCCATCTCCCGTGTTCAAGTGATTCCCCTGCCTTAGCCTCCCGATTAGCTGGGACTACAGGTGTGTGCCACGCTAGGCTAATTTTTTGTATTTTTAGTAGAGAGAGAGTTTCACCGTGTTAGCCAGGATGATCTCAATCTCCTGACCTGGTGAGATGCGCTCCTTGGTCTCCCAAAGTGCTGCAATTGCAGGCGTGAGTCACCTCGCCCAGCCGGCTTTTTTGTTTTTTGTTTTTTGAGATGGATTATAGAAATGTGCTAAGTGATAGTTTATTTTACCTTTTAAAGTTAATTAATTTTTAGACTGGATCTTGCTCTGTCACCCAGCCTGGAGTGCTGTGACACAGTCTAAGCTCACTGCTACCTCCCCCTGTGGAGTTCAAGGGATTCTCCTGTCTCAGCCTCCTGAGTAGCTGGCATAACAGGCAACTGCCACTACACCTGGCTATAATTTTGGATTTTTAGGAAAGATGGGTTTTCATGATATTGGCCAAACTGATCTCGAATTTCTGACCTCAAGTGATCCACCTGCTTTGGCTTCCCAAAGTGCTGGGACACAGGTTTGAGACACAGCGCCCGGCCTTCTTTCTTTTCTCTTTGAGACAGGGTGTTGCTCTGCCGCCCAGGTTGGAGTGCAGTGGTGCAGATCACAGATTTCCGCAGCCTCAACCTCCCTGGGTCAAGTGATCCTCCCAAGTAACTGGGATTTCAGGTGTACACGCCACTTCCAGGCAACTTCTGTATTGTTTGTAGAGATGGGTTTCACGGTGTTTCCCAGGCTGGTCTTGAACTCCTAGGCTTAGGTGTTTCACCTGCTTCAGCCTCCTAAACTGCTGGGATTACAAGTGTGAGCCACCATGTTCAGCCAGGCGGTGCTTCTGACTCACCCACTGCCTGGTTCCACCTCAGGACTCTTGTGTGGCTCGGCCCACAGCATCTTCATGGCCAACATTTCCCCAAGAGACGCTTCTACCTAGACATGGTCTCTGTGCTCAACTTTGCTGCCAGGTCCAAGGAGGTGATCAACCAGCCTTTCCCCAGTGAGAGCCTGCAGCTTCACAGTGAGGCTGAGAGGCAGGCGTGGGAAGCCTGGATCTGGAAATTAGGAACTTTGTTGAAGCCACCAGGCATCAGCACAGAAGCTGACTGCCTCACTTCACTCTGTACCTGTCCCTCCAGTCCTCTCGTCTTGGCACCTGTTAAGCTGTCTGAGAAAGAACTGCTAGGCCCATCAGAGGCAAAGAGAACCTGAGGCCCTGAGAAACAGAAGGCGCCCTGAGCCCACAGCAGCCAGCCTCTGCCTCCCAGAAACTCAGGTGAGGCTGGAGGCAGTGGCTTACACCTGTAATCCTTGCACTTTGGGAGGCCAGGGCAGGCAAATCGCTTGAGGTCAGGAGTTTGAGACCAGACTGGCCAACACGGTGAAACTGCAACTCTGCTAAAAATACAAAAATTAGCTGGGCATGGTGGCAGGTGCCTCTAATCCCAGCTACTCAGGAGGCTGAGGCAGGAGAATCCTTTGAACATGGGAGGTGGAGGCTGCAGTGAGTGGAGATCATGCCAATGCACTCCGGCCTTGGTGACAGACTGAGACCCTGTCTTGAAAGAAAGAAAGAAGAAAAGGAAGAAAGAAAGGGTGGGAGGAAAGGAACTCAGGTGATAGTGGAGTTTTGGGTGTTTCCATTTCTGCTGTGTCTGCCTTAGCTGTGGAGCAGCAATGGGCTTAGCCTGTTGGATCTGAGTAGAGATAACTATGAACTTGTTCCTCTCCCATTGAGTTCTCAAATTCCACACTGTTGAATTCGCTGATGTGTTACGATCAATTTCTCCTCAGTGCCGCTGCCTTGGGACCTATGGAAGCCTCCAACTGGGGCTGCTGGCCCCCTGTCTTTCCATTTTTCAGCCCCTTTAAGCCTTCAGCAAAACTTCACCTTTTCGGACAGCTGTTTCAAGGACTGGCACTTTCAGTTCTGGTTCAAGGAATTGTCTGGATCAGATCTTTCAGGTCCCGAGGATGAGAGCAAAGCAAAGGAAACATGGATGAGAGATGTCTCGCTGAGACCGCTCAGTCTCTGTCACAGCCAGCCTTTCCACCACCCTCCAAGGAGCCAGTTGCTGTCGTAACCTTGCTCTGAGTCCAGACAAAACCTCTAAACTAAGTCCTTGTGTGTGTGACCTCCTGTCCTAACACTGATCGTCCCACCTTATGGCCCAGTATAGACTAACCTCTGCTCAGGGGTCTTGCTGTCTGTGCCTGGCCATTTGACTCCTTCCTCCCTTCTCCTCTTAGGAGGTAGTTTTACCTTTGTTCCATTTCTACTCCAGCTCAAATACAACCTCTAAACTGTCTAAGTCCTGGCTGGGCACTACAGCTCACACCTGTAATTCCAGCATTTTGGGAGGCCAAGGCAGGCAGATCACTTTTGGCAGGATTTTGAGAGCAGCATGGTCAACATGGTGAAACCTTATCTCTACCAAAAATACAAAAATTAGTCGGTGTGGTGGCACATACCTGTAGTCCCGGCTACTCAGAAGGCTGAGGCAGGAGACTCGCTTTAACCCAGGAAGAGGAGGGTGCAGTGAGTGAAATCCTGCTACTGCACACCAGCTTGGATGACAGAGCAAGACTCTGTCTCAATAAATAAATAATAAATAGGCCAGGTGTGGTGGCTCATGCCTGTAATCCCAGCATTTTGGGAGGCTGAGGTGAGTGAATCACAAGGTCAGGAGATAGAGACCATCCTGGCTAACACACTGAAACTCTATCTCTACTAAAAATACATAAAATTAGCCAAGTGTCCTGGCATGCACCTGTAGTCCCACCTACCAGGGAGGCTGAGGCAGGAGAATCACTTGAACCCGGGAGGTGGAGATTGCAGTGAGCCAAGATTACACCATTGCACTCCAGCTGGGCAACAGAGCCAGACTTTGTCTCAAATAAATAAATAAATAAATAAATAAAACAAAAATAAAAATAAACTGTATGAGTGCTAAGACTACTGAACAGAGGTGACTGAGAGTTAGTGCACGCCTTGTCCTGAGGGGCCCCCTGGGGGCAATTTAGGCTCCCTTTGATCCTTTAGAAGAAGCAGGGCCCTTGATTTGAGACTTCTGGCCTCCAGAACTTCGAGGGAATCAATTTCTGTTGTTTGAAGCCACTGAGTCTGTAGCTTGTTACTTGTGGCCTCAGGAAACTGACAGGCTGGGTGACCCTGGGCAAAACCCCTTCCCTCTCTGAGTTTCTGTGTCTTCACCTCTGTGCCGACCATACAGCTTTTGGGTCCCCTGCTCACTGGTCCCTGACACCATCTGGACAGGGACCCCTCAGGACATGTGGAGAGTGTGGTGAGCCGGGGGCCTCCCAGAACTGCACTAGGCAGGCCCCCGCAGGTTTATGTCAGGAGCTGCCTCCCTCGGCAGATGCACTGGGCTGGGATCAAGAGGCGTGGGCTCCGCTGCAGATCCCAGCAACCTTGGACAAGACACTGTTGCCCCTGGGCCTCAGTTTCTTCTGTGAGATGAGAGCCCTCTCACCTGCTAGGTTTGCTGGGAGGGTTCACAGGGTTCTACAGTCATGGCAGGTTCTCAGGCTGTTGTGGATGTCAGGATGTCACTGTCACTCTTGTTTTCAAATTTTAATTGGCTTTGGCTTTTTTTCCTTTTATTATTATTATTTTTTTTAATTCATGATTTCTTTATTTATCTTTTATATGTTCATTTTCATTTTGAATCTCCCAAAGAGGGGTAAAATAGGCAATATTTCCCCAAACATTACTAGACATGAAGTAGTTTTTAGGTGAAACATAACACAACACTATTTAAGTACAAATGTGCAGAGATTACCACAGTATCATAATGTAATTAAACTTCTGAGGTTCACAATGAGAACTCTGAATATATAGAAAAT